GTGTCATCACTAAGGTGTGCGTTAAAGTCAGCAGGCAGCCGCAGGTCATTGCGGGAGGTGAGAATGGTTCGTCAACTATGGTTGCGGCCGATAGTGCCTCTGGTCAGGTGTGATTTGCTTCCCAAGCGTGGAGAAGGCTGTGGAAGCTGTACTTGAGATTTCTAAGAACAAGTAGGCTACTCAAGCTCCTTCATAAGATACCATGGTCTGCTTCAGTATCCGTGATTTGTCCCGAGGCGAGTTGATGACCGGTGCTGCTGTTCGTCAAGGGAACGCCTTCTTTGGATGCCAATATACTGAGCTCCCTTCTCTATGCTTCGAGTGCCATTGCTCGGATTATAAGGCGGCCGATAGGTACATAGGCGGCTCGTTCTCGTTGTTCGACCGTTTGACCTATGTTTCTTGCGAGTGCGATTTCGTATTTTTTCAGAGCCTGCTGTGACGTGATGGAAATCGCTAAGAAGTGTGGGGGTACTGATATTAGAGCTACTAATGATAAAGATGCTCTCGAGACTCTATGGTAGGGGTGCAGGGACCACAGTATGCGCACAGTATTACTACTTCTATTTCAGGACTCTTCGTCGTGGTGCATTTTACTCTACTAAGAACACACGAAGAGGGGAGAAGGGCATTTCTGTATTCGTTAGTGATGCATGCGTACCTCTGGTCAACCTTCCCAAAGTCATCACTGAAACCGAAAACATTTACCAAGTAGGCGTGTGATGGAGCTGCTGATTCCGTCAGTGCTATTGGTGCTGTTGTAGGACATCTTCCACAATGTGGACACGCTGTGCATTGTTGCACATATCTTTGATGGTAACTTCCACGCTATGATCCCGACCAAGGAGGAGGAGGTTGATAAGATAGAGGAATTTAGTGACAGCTTGCGAATATAGTTCTCGATGCTGGAGTGAGTACAGTAATCAACCGCAATTCGTTTATGGCAATAGAGCTTCTTTGATCTCGAGTTCGATCGTCGCACTGGTAATAGTACCATGATGTGTTATTAG